ATCGGACAGAACGCGAGCTTCTAGAATTGATTCGAGCGCGACAACTCAAATTCCTTGGCCATTAAATCCGTAAAGACACATTAGCAAACCTTAGCCGAAGCGGTAAAATAAAAGGCAAGTTTGCTCGAGGTAGACGGAGGAAAAAATATTTCCTAACAATTTTTAACAACACTTCGATGCGCGACACCATGAAACAGGTAGTTCATCTGACATCGCATCGGTGATGGCACAGAAAGATATATATGTAAATTTATGCATACATGTGCGTGTGTGTGTGTGTGTGTATGTGTGTGCATGTGTGTGTGTGTGTGTGTGTGTGTGTGTGTGTGTGTGTGTGTGTGTGTGTGTGTGTGTGTGTGTGTGTGTGTGCGCGTGTGTGTGTGTGTGTGTGTGTGTGTGTGTGTGTGTGTTGATGTGTGTGTGTGTGTGTGTGTGTGTGTGTGTGTGTGTGTGTGTGTGTGTGTGTGTGTGTGTGTGTGTGTGTGTGTGTGTGTGTATTAATTGTCCAAAATCGTTCTCGTACTTTGTAAATTATGTCATGCGATAGAATATTATCAAACTTTGAAATTCCCGAAAGACTTACCATCTAAAGGCGCTGCAATTTGAATTAATTGTTAACCTTAATGAACACGTCATTCCTCATTTACAGGCAGATAATTAGGAAAAATGACTTAAGCACAAATCTTTTTCAATTCTTTTTCCAACCAGCTTTGAATGAATTTTAAAGATAATATTATTTGTATTCACGTCAGCACCCGTCATGTAACGTAGCAGTGTGTGTGTGTGTGTGTGTGTGTGTGTGTGTGTGTGTGTGTGTGTGTGTGTGTGTGTGTGTGTGTGTGTGTGTGTGTGTGTTGTTGTTGTTATGTATGTCCCAATTAGAGCAATATCTTTTATTCAGAGAACATCCTGGAGATATTTTAGTTGCATTTACGTATTCTTTGGAGGTTGTTGTGTTACCTGCCTGTGGCCCTTTCATGTTTGCGATCATATTTTCCATCTGACGCTATTTTTTCATGGAAAATATAAGACAGCTGTTTGTGTAGTTCGACAGAGTGTGTGCGTGCGCACGCGCGTGTGTGTGTCTGTGTGCACGTGTGCGTGTGTGTGTATGTGCGTGCGTGCGTGGGCGCACGCATGTGTGTGTGTGTATTTTTGTGTCGGTGTGGGTACGTATGCGGGTCTTTATCATGCGTATTTTTTTAGCAATGGCCAAATTTGTGTAGATCGATAGAGTCTTTGATTGTCTTCGCTTGTTTGAAATGAACACGAAATAGAATCCTAACTTTGGCTGCTGATACTTCCTCCTCCCTTCCACATAACTGCATTGGCGCCGAAAGGACTTTATTGGCTTCTTGGGGCTCGCGGATCGTATACTTTCAGGATAAATTCATTACCTCCTCCTTCTTTTTCCTTTTCATCCCCTCCTCGTCCTCCTCTTTCCTTCTTCTTCTTCCGCCTCCTCTTCCTCTTACTCCTGTCCTTCTTCCCGCTCATCGTCTTCCTCCTTACTTCTCGTCTCTTCCTCGTCTTCTTTTCCCCTTACGCCTCTCTCTCTTCTCGCTATTTCCTGATCCTCCACTTCTTCCTTCTTCTTCTCCTCTTTCCCCTCTCCTTATTTCCTTCCCACTTCTTTCTGGTTTCTAACCGTAAGTCAACTGTACCTAGCTTTCCTTTTTTATCATTATTATCAACCACTGCACGTTTTCTGTTAACTGTTAACTCGGTGCCTTTCGTGCCAAACAGGAAAACATAAGGAAGCGGTATCTGGTCACTAAGCCCTGAACGAAATCGATTAACTTGAAGAGACTGGAGCAAATGCGTGCTTATAATTGCATCCCTCCTGAGCTAAACAGAAAAGAAAAGCATAAGATGATAGTCACCAAGCGCGGAAGTCGGTAAGCTGAAGGGATTGGAATCAGTGCCCTCATTAGCCACATCAAGAGCATGGAACTAACTGGATCTTTTTTCCCTTCTTCAAGAGTGATTTGTGTGATAAGATTACTAATTAGTAGTTTGTCCTCAGGCTAGGTTGAAAGCCTGTTGTCAGCAATTTGGTTTCGTAACATCGTCGGAAAACGAAAATTCATTTTGCAGGGGGAAAAGGATGCTTTCAACGTTTCGTAATCACTGTTTTATGTGTGTTAGTTCTTGTGCCAATTCAAACTTTAATCACCATAGCATTGGACTACATTTTCAGTTATTAATCTTAATGTGTTTGTATCAAGTTTACTACACTGATGGTAAGTAGGTCACAAAATATATTTATTAAAGGTGTCCACCATCAGAGTAATTACAACAAAAGCTTAAATGCTCTGCATTGCGTCTCTTTGCATCATTATCAACCGACAGTTTCGAAAGAAAATCAACGCTATTAAAACATGAGCCTTTCTATGCTGACATTTCATTAGTATAATTCGTCGATCCTCTTATTCTTAGTCCTTTTTTCATCAGTCTCCTCATTCTCCCCCTTCTTCGTTTTCCTACCGCCTGCTCCTTTTCGCCTTTCTTATTCTCCTTTTCTTCACTCGCTTTCTCCACCACTACGCATCCCAAACGTTGACATGGTAACGCCTTTTTACCTTCTTCACCAACCTTATATATATATATGTATATATATATATATATATATATATATATATATATATATATATATATATATATATATATATATATATAATAACTTCCTGCATCGTCTTCTTCTTCTTCTTTTTTCTTTTCTTTATAAAATTTTAGAAGCAATAGCTTCACCAACAGGAAGTGCAGTGCATATAAAACAAGCAACTGAAGCTTACAAAAAATAATTTGTTGACAGTGGTGTCTTAAACAAGTGAGTCATGCACTGCGTCATGACACTGTTGACTCATATTGCTGTCATGATTTCAACTTTGTATACGATAAGAACATGTTTAACGATCACAAAAGAACAGAAAAGGAAAAAACATAAAGAACATGTTTAATGAACAAAAAGAAAAAAAAAGGCATAAACAGCATGTTTAAAGAAAAAAAGAAAGCGTGTTAAAGGAACAGTAAAAAAAAAGGGAAAAAAGGAAAAGGGAATAAAGAATATCTTTAAAGAATAAGAGGAACAAAAAGAGAAAAGAGAATGAAGAACACGTTTAAAGAATAAGAGGAAAAGAAATGTTAACGAAACGGAAAACAAGCTGGAAGAAAATACGAACTACTTTCTGTAGATTTACTTTTCAAACAAAACATCCCTTTTTATTTATAGTCTTTAGCGATTATGATCCTTTTTTTCCAAGAACGTTGATCGTCCTCGAAGATAAAATTTGTCTGTTTTCTCTCCCTCAAGGACGCCAGTGGCCGGATCTCCCGAAAATACTCGCTTGTCCTCGTTCTTTTGTCATGTTAAAGGGAAACAGAGAGGGTGAGAAAGAGGGAGAGAAGGAAGGGTGAGAAAAGGAGAGAGGGAGGGAGGGGTAAGGGAGAGGAGGAAGAGAAGGAGGGGTGGGAAGAGGAATAGAAAAAGAAAAGGAATGAGGAAAGAGGAGTGAGACGAAAGAAGAAAAAGGAGATGGAATGAGAGCTTCCTATTGGCTGACAGCATTCAGGAAGCCACGCCTTCTTTACCGGTGCCGTAAGATTACGTAATGGTTGCCAATTTTTTTTTTTATGGAAGAATAGTTTGGGAGCAAAATCAGAAGGGTATGGACGATAATACAGAAAAAAAGTGATCATCAACAACGAAAGAAGAATCTCTTAGGCTCTGAACTTTTTTTTGTCTGCCTCGTATAATAGATTTTTTATCATTTTAATCTCTCTCTCTCTCTCGCACACACACACACACACACACACACACACACACACACACACACACACACACACACACACACACACACACACACACACACACACACACACACTAAAAGGTAAATAAATAAATAAATAAATACAAAATATATATCAAAACAGGAGCCATTATCTTACCAAGTCACTCAAACAAATGGTCTCTCTCTCTCTCTCTCTCTCTCTCTCTCTCTCTCTCTCTCGCACACACACACACACGCACACACATACACTAAAAGGTAAATAAATAAATAAATAAATACAAAATATATATCAAAACAGGAGCCATTATCTTACCAAGTCACTCAAACAAATGGTCTCTCTCTCTCTCTCTCTCTCTCTCTCTCTCTCTCTCTCTCGCACACACACACACACACACACACACACACACACACACACACTAAAAGGTAAATAAATAAATAAATAAATACAAAATATATATCAAAACAGGAGCCATTATCTTACCAAGTCACTCAAACAAATGGTCTCTCTCTCTCTCTCTCTCTCTCTCCCTATTACACCTGTATGTTCTAATGCAACACGGGCTTAGTACAAGGTTGTTTAATGAAAAGGAAATACGGGTTTAGTACAAGGTTATTTAATGTAAAGGAAACACGGGTTTAGTACAAGGTTATTATTAATGAAAAGAAAAAAGGATATCAGACGCTTAAATCTTCTCTTCTGATTACACGCTTTTTTTTAATGATTCTGAAAATAATGTTTTCAGGCCATGAAAACAGTTGCAAATCCCCTCCCCCTACTCTACATCAGCAAGGTACAATCGTTCATACCAAATTCTATGTTTTAATATATCCAGAGTATCATTATTACCAAATTGTTAAACGTTTTAACAATTCTTCAGTATAACTTATTACCAGATATTAAAAAGTTTCAAAAAGTTTCTCAGTAATAACTAGACTTCTTAATCATTATGTTGATAAGCGTTTTAGCATTTGCTTAACATCACGTGAATCAAGTGAATAAACGTCTTAATATTTGAAAGGAAAACTGCCACAATAAGAAATGAAATTGAAAAGTAACGTTTCGAATTCTTCACGAGTTTCTCTTCAGACGAATGAAATACACATACTCTTCCATTTTTGGTATTTCATTCGTCTGAAGAGGAACTCGTGGAGAGTTCGAAATGTTGCATTTCAATTTCATTTCTTACTGTGACAGTTTTCCTTTCATCTTTGTGTACACGTTACTGTGTTTGTGTTTGTGTCAGTCTTAATATTTCGTTAGTATCACTATTATCAAATAGATAGATGGCTAATCTCTTAAATAATTATTTGATATATATTTTTTTTCTATCATTAGTATCAAATATATAACCGTTCTAAAATTTCCTTGGTGTCATTATTACCACATAGATAAACGTTCAACATTTGTTTAACATCGATAGACATCTTTCCTCTCATCATTACCAAATGAACAAACGTTTTGACATTTCCTCAGTATCAATAATACTTCTTTCCTATCACTATCATCAACAGGCTATACGATTTGACATTTCCTCAGCATTAAAATACTCCTTTCCTATCAGTATTATACAAATAGATAAACGTTTTAACATTTTCTAAATACACCTTTCCTATAATTATTAGCAGACGAGCAAACGTTTTGACATTTCCTCAGTATCAATAACACTTCTTCACTATCATCATTATTATTATCAACCAGCACCCGATTCCTCGTCGAGAACAGGTGCCCTTCCCGCGTGCATCTCGAGGTCCCATTCAACCGACAACAATACAAGCGAGAGACTCAATGAAACCCCAACCTTTGCACAAACACTCTTAGCAATGGTAATGAAGGGGACTTTATTGAAAGGGACGTTTTATGACGATGACGGAGGTGGCACTGGCTGAACAATACCCGCTGGCGCTGGCTCTGACCGTGATCCCCCCAAGTGGCACAGCTCCTTCATCTCTCGCAGGCACACGCTGGCCCTTTCGCTTCCGAAGTGATTCCTGCAAAGAGGACACACTTCCTTTGAGTATCCTTCGCCAAAGGGGGCGGAGAGGGAGGCAGGGAGGTTATTTTTGTATTGGTAATGTTCTTGGCTTGCCGTAGGAGGCATCGAAAGAAATTGAAGAGGAAGAGGGAGAGGAAGAGGGAGAGGAAGAGGAAGAGGAAGAGGAAGAGGATGAGGAAAAGGAAGAGGAAGAGGAAGAGGAAGAGGAAGAGGAAGAGGAAGAGGGAGAGGGAGAGAGGGGGAGAAAGAAAAAGGAAAGAAAAGAAAAGAAAAGAAAGAGAGAGAGAGAAGAATGGGGAAAGCAAGTTTATGGGAGAAAACAAAAATCAAAATTTTTGAATTTACACTGGCCTTACTTATCTTATCTCCCTTCGTCACGTATTAATCAATACTGAAGTTTCGATAAAGAGACGACGTGTAAGGGATGGCGATTATTACCTAAATAGTTGGTGATTCGGAAATGATTAACAACGATATAAAAGAAGTAATTTCTAACCAATACACATAGACGGATATTGAGTCAAATGTGAATATATGTAAAACAGATAATTATACATAGATAGATAAATGAATGAATAGATAAAATAATGTATGGATATGTAAAGCCATTTCTTTCGTAACTCAAAAAAAGAGAAAGAGAGAGAGAAAAAAAAATGACAAAACTCAGTAAATCACAAAACCAACAATTTTAATAACGAAATGTCACCGAACGAACTTCCTGGAGAAAGCAAAAGCAATCAATTTTTTTTTTCATGAATCGAAAAGCTAAGAGACACCAGCGTCAAAAGGCTATTTGTCTGGGCTTGGAGGAGGACACCGAAGATCCTCTTCTGTCGACACGCCGAGAAGGATGAGAAGGATGAGAGGAACGAGGGAGGGAGAGAAGGAGAGGAGAGGAGAGAAGGAGAGGAGAGAAGGAGAGGAGAGGAGAGGAGAGGAGAGAGAGAGAGAAAAAAAAAACATGTATACATACATACACTTGTATGTCTATCAATATCGCGCACGCGCGCGTACAGGAACAGGCACGGAGGGGGGGGAGGGGGGAGAGGGAGAGAGACAACCACCCATCCACCCACCCCCACACACAAACAAACAGACAAACAAACAAACAAACAAACAAACAAACAAACACACACACACACACACACACACACACACACACACACACACACACACACACACACACACACACACACACACACACACACCACTGGTTGGCGAGGTGGAAGAGCTTGTACAGCTTCTGCCTGGGGTGCCAGCCTGGGGCCCTTGGAACGCGCGTGTAGTATTCCTCCCAGACTTCACTGCTGAAGGACCCAAACGTCGTGGAGATCACACAGTCGAACTCATGGTGTCCGTACAAGGAGCCAGGGTCGAACATCACTGCGGAAAGTTGGATAATGAGGAAAAGAGGAATGGATCCTCTGACAGTGTGTATTATCAGCCCAACGGGACGGTTGAAAAGACCTTCCCAAACGGCCTTGTTATTTCCCACTTTTTGGCTTCGTCAGCTGGACGTCCTGGTCAAACAGTGGGTTCATCGGATAGAATCGTTTCGTCTGCACAAAGGTGATTGTATGCTTTCGTTAAGTATATAATTTAAGTATATGATTTTACTTATGATTAAGTATATAATTTATTCAGTTAGCGTGTGAGTGGTCGTTTACCTGGTCCGTTGATCGTCTCTGCTGTGTTGCCATAGTAGAGGTCACCGTGAAGCAGGGAGGGTTTGATTTTCACGTTGGCGAAAAATGACGGAATTTTGAGTTGCAGTTCTGACCACAGTTCGTTGGCTTCCCGATTCCCAAACTGTGTGAAGAAGGAAACTGCTTGGATCACTGAGAAAAGTATTTTTTTTATGTGTGGTATCGTGTATATAAGGAGGGAAATTGACGAAATAACGATTTTAACTTACCACTCTTGTTATTTTTCGGAATTGGTTGTCAAGTTGCCTGGCGTAGAATACCTGGGATGGAGAAAGCACAAACTCGGTGATATATACTTTTAAAAACTATATATACACATATATATATTATACATAACATAAAACTTATAAGTTCATGAATATACT